ATGTAATAATGTGCCTGATGTACATTTTAAAATGATTAGGCTAATTATTTTACCCAAATCATATTCTTACTGATTGGGTGCATGTGTCTGAAAGCTGTGATGAACAAAGTAAAAAATATATGCCTAGTTGTACAAGCAAAAAAATCAAACTACCTTCAGCCCTACCGATGCCTGATCCATCAAAATGTTCAATATTGGCATCGATATCCAATCATATCATATCAGTTTATCTCCAGTTTGTAGTAATGAAAAGAACACACTGACTCACTAGTTTCTTTCACTTTATTATATAACAAATACAGTTAACAGAAAGCAGCTTATAAATTCTGACCATCTCCCCGATTCCCCCACAATTCTCTCATCCCACTGGCTTTGATTTCGCTCCACATATTTGGTCACATTAGAAAAGCATGTCATCATTATTTGACCATTTGGCTTCACTACACCACACATTATCATTAGACAGACAGACAGACTTTGAAATATTGTACTTTTAATATCTGGCAACCGCAGACTTTCTCAAATATATACGCAAGAATCAATCCCAATTTTTATAGCCACAATACAAAATAAACCATGATCATTCAGAAACATTGACAAAATAAATAAGGTCCATATGTACAGTCATTTTCTATTTGACTTTTCCACATTTCCATAGGCTATGCTTTGACAGTGATAGCTTGTATTTGGTCTGTAGCAATTTCTATGAATCGGCGAGTTCTAGTTTCCAGTCAAGTCAATGTAGCAATATGGCTTTTGAAAATGGTGGCAGTCGTCTGGAGCTTTTCCCAGCAGCACCTATGGGCTTTAGGCAGGAAATACCCAGGTTAATGGCTTGAAATATTGACAAAGAGACATTCACTCAAACTTGTTCACTATATCTATCGATCTATATATATATATGTATGTATATTTGCAATATTTCTGACAAGCTTTGCGATTAGAGTTGCAATTCATCGTTATAATAATAGGATTCTGATTAAGGGTGGGACGATTCTCTTTTGTTATGATTTGATTCTTGTTTTGATTCATGGTCTTGATTCAGTTTTATTTCGATATTTGGTGACAACAACATGTGAGAATCGAATGTAGCACAAATTTGAATATTTTTCTGAGAATTGTCCCATCCCTAATTCTGTTCAAGAGCTCACATTTTCAACACGTCCTGGAGAATTATCAAAAAGACAGAAATATGAACTGACAAACTATTATAAGAATCACATTTCAGAGCATATTTGTACAGATATAAACTAGACGGTGGCAGCCTTTGCAATTTGCTAATTATGTCCATTCAAATTCAGGTTTAATGGTTAATATTTTTAGATAAACACCCTGAGAATTAAACCTTCAATCAACTTGCTAAGAGCCACCAGTGCTACCCACTCTGCCACCATGCACTTCAATACACACCAATGACTGACAGTTTGCATTTTGGTTTCACAAGCTTTGATCAATGCAGTGAAAGGAAGGGCATCTGACTTAAAGATACATACTTGCAGTGACATTTGAAAGCTGTGTAGCCGACTTTAGACCCTTTATTCAAATCAACAACTTTTACATTTTCACAAACTTCGATATCCTCAATTCTAATATGACTTGACTGCAGGATGACAAGCTCTACTTTAAAATGCACTTTCAAAAGCAATGAAAATACCGAAAGACTCTAAAAATACCCTGTTTTTCTTAACAAGTATAAAGCAGTCCATAATGCATGAGATTAGAGGAGTCCTTGGAGTTTGCTTTTAGAAGCACTCAGTCACGGAAATGCTAATGAAATTCTCAACAATAAAAAGCTACAGCCCTGTCGCTAACAAGTGCATGTGTCTATTACTCAGAGTATGGAAATGTGGAGCTTTTCTAGTTCAGCGTGCACACAAAGGAGTTGGTAATTTGAGTGAGTGAAGTGATTTGTCATCCCTGCCTGGCCTCATCACACCTCAACTGCGCAATGCTTTCGTAAATTGAGCATTTCATGTTTTTTGAGCGAGTTGCTATTTTAAAGATACGCCATGGAACCTTTCTGGTTGTTTGAATGAAGATGTTGTTGCTTTGTGTGCGTGATCTGCAGTATGGCATTAAACTAATCACCGTAGAGATGAGCAGATGACGTCACCAGACCATGTTCCAGGTCAAATCTGTGGACAGGCGAGCCCACTCATAATAACAATGTTGTTATCGGCATTTTTGAGCAAGTGACACCTGATGCAAGATAAGATTAATGCCATATTGTTGAACTTTCCAGGCAAAGCAATAACATCTCCATCGAGACAAGCAGGTGCCAGAACCCCAACCAAAAAAGTTACGTAGTGCACCTTTAATAACATTGTGCACATATAGTTATCTTTCTTTAAAGTTTAGGTATATTTCATACTAGTTTTGTGACCTTGTGTTCAAATTTGATTGGCAAAAGAACTGACATGCAAGGTGTAAATGCCAGTGAATACATTAACCTTTGTTCCATTCCAAACACTCCATATGCAAAACGGACATCTTGATGTTATAAAATGTCACAAAATAAGGTGGAACCCCACATATCACAGGCTCACACAATATTTACCTAAGATGCAAAAAACTTAAACATTGCACAATTTGGTTCAGGCTGTTCTGCTTGGTCTGGTCCCAAAATCTCACTTTGCACAATAACACTTCTCTAGCTGTCAGCCAAGTTTCAACAAGATATTCGCAACTTAAAGCCACAGTATGCAACTTTTTAGCCAGAAAAATGTAAGCACGTTTTCTTCATTTCGGTTGTTTTCATTGCACTAAACAAACCTGGCCTGGAGCAGCGCCTCATCCCGCTTGTTTCCATGGAAATGTTCTTTCACAATATCACATGAAACGTATCTATTTCTATGCAGAGCGCGCCGCAGTCTGGTTTAACTCTCTCTTGAGATGTGATCATGCAGGTGAAGTGCCACCTCCAGAAAGTTACTTACTGTACCTTTTAAAAATGTAGTGAAATTAATCATATAATTCATGAATCAAGTTAGGCCACTGTACGCCAATAATTTCTTACATTATCTTGTCTTGTATTCCTAATGTAATCACCTTTAAAGGTCTTATATTACGCAAAATTGATTCTTGTGAGCTTTAAACCATGTTAGAATGTTCCTCCTCAAAAACATATCTGGAGGTGTGTTTTGTTTCATTCACATATGTTTACGTAACTCTTTAGCTCTAATCTGTCTACATCTCTAAAGCTCAAAATGCTTTGTTCCAACTTCTGATGTCATGCAGTTTTCAAGTTACTACCTTTTACCTTTAATCCCTGTATTACCACATGACATCACAAGGTGGAACCAAGTGTTTTCTGTTTGAGAGAAGAACTTAGAATAAATATGCAGGGTTTGTGTGTTAAACATAAACAAAACACATCTCCAGGTATGGTTTTGATGAGGAAACAACAGAACACATCAGAAAATAACGTAATATGGGACCTTTCAATTATCTATTCTTTCTCTGTCCTATTTCACTTTTTTACTCTGCGGCACCCTTATTGTAACCCAATTTTATATATATAAAGTAACTTGTCTAGTCTTTTTTTCAAGTTGCCACCTCTTGTATCAACAACATCCAATTTACTTTCTTTATAGTACTTCTTTCCTCTGTGACCTTCTATAGACGCCAACACTTTTAACACATTTGCCTGTTATCCTTCTAGTTCAGAAAGCACAGTGGGAGACTAAGAGAAAAAAAATATATGCAGCAAAACAGACAGACAGCATTTTATCTGTTTTTCATGAAGAAAATAGGTTATGTGAACTATTTATGCGCTCCCCGGGACAGTAAAAAACATCAGAGCAGACTTTGGTCCCTTATTTTGGAACCAATATGTAGTGACAGTGAATAGTTACATCTTACATACGATTTCCTTGGGGCCGTTGGGCATAAAACCTCCTCTGGTTAAGTTTTGGACAGCTTCATTCTTCAAAAGTGAGAGTGCCACAGTGATATCAGCCACAAAATGGAGTCCTATCCGGCAGTAAGTGGGGCACACGCCTCTTTAGATTACCATTCATCTTCCTGTGCATTTACACTTGAGACAAAAGTGGGTCAGGGTGTGGGCTGGCCATTAGGAACAATATATATTCTGTTTTGGTTTGAACTGAAAATGTAAGCATGATAAGAGATAGATTTCCTGAGCTGGAATGCCTGTATACAAAGCTGTCTCTTATGTCATGTTGTAGGCAAGTTTGGAGTTTTTAAACTAGGGCACTATTCAGTCTCTGCAAGTCCTCTGATTTGTTAAGAGTCAAGGTTGAGCCAGTAGTACAATAATACAATTTAACTCTATTTCTCTCTCTCTTATTGATTAATTACATTTTTTGATTCTCTTTTATATTTCTTATATATATGGCTTTCAATATTAAGGTTCATGGACATATACAAGACTGAAATTTTTGCTTTTTCTACTACAGGATTGGCTGGATATAAAAGAGTAAAAAAAATAAAAAATAAAAACAAATAAAAATTATAATTTCCTAAAATTTGGTACAAGTTTGTGTCGCTAAAATTCAGCTATATTTACTCATTTTCATTTTGTCCATTACTTTTCTGTTGAAAGGTCCACTTCCTTCTTGTCTCCATGGAGATATTACAGCTTGGAATGTTCCACAGTATGGCATGAAGCTTATCTAACTCCATGGAAACAAGCAAGTCAAGCAGATCTTACACCTAACTTTGATCAGAGCAATTTCCAAAATAATTGGTCCAAATTAGTGTCTCTAAAGTTTAACTGTATTTTTATTCAGTAATTTGTTTTTCTCTATTCTAATTAAACTACAATTTTTTGTGTTATTATTGGCAAAATTGGAATACACCAAGCAGACATAAGATAATCAGCCAAGTAACCAAAATGGCAGTGGTTACAAGGTAGAGATAGAAGGAAATTGTAATTGAGTTTGTGGTTGAATAACTGACCTATTTCAAATGGTTACCCAATCTCTTCAGACTGAGACCCTCAATGGAAAATGACATTGACTTCTAGGATAATTTAATTCTGAAAAATAAAAATGTGCTGTAACTCCTGACATAATTAAATGTAAAAAAAAAAAAAAACTGCTTTTGAGAATTCCATCTAAACAAACCGCAGCCTGAACCTGTCAATACCTGTGTTTAAATCCGAAAATAAGCTTGGGGAATATGTTGATAAAATCTAATCGTCTTCCCATTCCTTTGATGATATGCTATTTTCACATCATTATTCACCCATTTCCTCTTGAATGCGGCTCTATGCTCAAACACAGACGCTTTTTCCTACCCACACCTACTAGTGACTAGTGACCTGCAAGCAGTGACGGGAAGAATACTTTGAAAATGTATTTAGTTACAGACTACTGAATATCTGTATTAAAATGTATTTTGTAACATATTCCGATACATGGGCCAAATACAGTACTGTATTGTGAATACTTGGAATGCTTTCACACTGAGTTGCATTATAGTGTAAAAACATGAGATACCATTATGAACAGCTGTATTTTTTTTCCTTTTTTCCCGATGCATTAACTTATGTCTTATTAGCCAAAAGTACCACCATGTATTCCTTTTAATTTAGGAAGGTAACTATTCTGAATACCACCAAATAAAAAAGTAACTGTACCAGAACACAGTACTCAAAATTAGTATTCAGAATGTGTATTTTTGGTACATGTATTCAGTTACTTCCCAACATTGCTTATAAGTGGATTTAACCAACTGCAATGACATGTGAAGCAGATGACTTCAGTTACTACTTCAAAAAACATTGTTTACATGAATCATGATGCATTTTAAATTGTAATCTGGCTCAAAAAAAAAGAAAAGATTTTTATGTTCTGTTTTTTTTTTTTTTTTTTTTTTTTTTTTCCTTTTTGCATATCACCCACCCCTATCATAAAATCACTTAGGGTCAGGGTATCACTCATTGTCCATTGATTGCCCATTATTATTATCATTATATCATGGTGACAGTGATATGATGATAGTCTGAAAAACACCCTGATGACTTCATGGCACTGTGCAGCCTAGAACCACTTGAATGGCTTTGGAGTATTTGGCGGTATCAAACAAGAGTTCACGTGCTGCGGTAGGTTTTGATAATGTCTTTGATTGTTCTCCTGCAGATCGGACAGCAGGCGTTGGACATCTTCTTGAGTTTGAGTCCACAGGGGTAACAGAGACACATATGTCCACAGGCGTACAGCACAGTGTCCACCACATTCTCATAGCAGATGGTGCACTCATCACTCCACGTGTTGGCGGGGAAGGTGGGAGACTCCGGGAGGCTGCAGAACGGGGAGCTCGGGGTTGTGCCTAAAATGTAAAACAAAATGTAAAACTGATAAACAGTGGCAGCCATTTTAATTTAATGACCTCAAAGATGCACTATGTAACTTTTCTGGTAGAGGGGCAGTTTCCTCCTTTGTTGTAGAAGAAATTGTAGTCCAAGAGTTAAGGCTGGAGAAGTTTATTTACATCAATACAGGACCCAGGACATGAACCCTCAAGACATTGTGATAGTATATTGTCCTTTCTAGCCTAGTACAGTCCAGTCTGGCTATGCTTCCTTTGTAGGGAGTATCATACCTCTGATGACACAGGTCAAGATAATGAGCTGGCAGTGAGAACCGTCAGTGACAGTTTCCATGGATATATTCTAGCTTTGCCACAGTATGCCATTAGTTAATATTACCTAACTCAAAAGAAGCATGTTATTGCTTTACATGGAATGTTCCAAATTATGGCATTAAAAATCTCTTTTTACCCCACACATGGTTTAGATTTGAAATGTTATGTGAAATAGTGTACAAAATCCAAATGATGTCACCTTGAATTTTCAGTGAATTTGAAAAGCCCTGGATGGTTAATTTACTGGGTATACTTTTGGACAAATGCAAAATAGTTGCAATAAATACAATTTAGAGTCAAAGAAATTGAATTTCGATGGCAGAAGAAAGAAAATATTTCACAAAAAAATTTATTCCTAAAATTTTGTTTTAATTTTTTCATTTCACTACACAGAGCTTGATTTTTACAGTTAGTTGAATTATTACTTGCGTATTATTTCTGTTTTAATATGATAATAATTTTGCTTTTGGCAATGCAGACAAGAAATGAATCAGAATGGTTAATAGTGGAAATATTCATTAGTATTAAGTGTGCCATAAATAACTCTGGACAGTCTGCTCAGTATTTCTCACACTTATCGGTCCATTGTAGCAGCCGCAGTTTAATGACCTTTTTTCAGTTCTGATTCATTACTGTTTCAGGAGGAGGACATACGGAGGACAAACCTGCAGAGGAGGAGAAGGCCGAGCTGTAGTTTGAGTTCAGGCTGCAGTTGAGAGGTGAGCTCAGGTTGGACTCAGAGTTGTAAAGCAGAGAGGGAGCGTTAGGTGTACAGGACGGAGAGCTGGGGACAGAGAGCCCTCTCACATCTGACATGCACGAACCTGGAAAACATGAATAATAATAACACTTCAGACTTATATGAAGCTTTTTGAACACTTTACAAACTATAGACAATAGGAAACTGGAAAATGGTGGTGAAAATCATGGGGGCAATGCCAGTTTGAACAGGTGAGTTTTTAGTAGAGGTTTGTAGCGCTGTACTGAGTCCAAGTTCCTGATGGATTGTGGGAGTGAGTTCCAGAGGGCGGGGGCGATGGCAGGAAAGGCTTAGTCCCCTTAGGTCTGGTGCTTTGTAGTAGAAAAGAAATGAGCAAATCACCAAGTTTGGAATGATTTACGCAAAAACAAAATGGCTTACTGCAGTCTAACTATATATAAAACATGCTAACCCTGTTTTTCATGTCATATTTGGAAATGTTTCAAACTTCTTGATTATGATACTGTTATTACTTTAAGTAGAATTCTGATGTTGTCATAAAGTAGTTCTGGTATAGATAAATGGTAACGACTGTATTCAGGAAATGTTAAATCTTTCAGAATTAGGAATTTTGGTATGAATTAGTATCTGGGTAATGATTTTTATTTTTTTTTAACAACCCTACTCTATATACAAATCCAATCACAATATTTGTTAGAAAAATTGCAATTAATTTTTTTTTTTTTTTTTGCAAATGTTCAGCCCTGAGTTGCATAATTTCACTTTCAGATTTCACAGAATACAGAACCCTCTTTTGTTGGTGCCTCGTCTCGTCTGTCACACTTGGTTTTCACACAGACAGACGGCGCTCGCTCGGAGCAGATGACTTGCGAAATGAGGAGTGACTCAGGAGCTTGTGTAGTCTTGTCTCTGACACCAAGCCCCCCTTCCCCAAATTTACCCATAATCCCCCTGGGTAAGACACAACCTCATGCACTGAGTCTTTGTCTTAATGTCCCGGATTGCACCTTCTTGGCTTGGTTCTGCATACTGGCTCTGAGTTTGTATTTGAGAGTGAAAATCTGATCTTGTTGACAGACCTAAAGCATGGTTGTTTACATCTTGTCCTTCAACTGACCGCTGTAAAAATTGATTTGGCACCGCCAGCTGTCCAGGTGTCAAACATTCTGAAACACTTAATTAATGTCCAAGTCATTCTCTAGTCCAACTATTCATACAAAAGCAATTTGGTGCAAACAAGAAGTGCAGATGGTGCACAATGAAAACAACATACTGTGGAATGACCTTATACTGAAAAAAAGGACAGCTTTGGCGGTTCATCCACTGCACTCAAATGTATACAATAAGTTGCATAACGCTGGCAATGTGTGCTGTGATCTGGTCCACTTCTCTAAAGGCTGATTTCACTTGGACAAAATAGAGCGCTGCAGGCTTAGATTCAGCCTACATAAACAACATATAGTTTGTTTGTTTTTTGTTATGAAACAGGCAGTATGCTCTTGAGGAGAGCATCAAACAGAAGATACGGTTAAAATACAAGAACAATTTGATGCAGTCGTAGAGACTTGAGAGTGCTGTGCTTCCAACTCTTTTTAAAATAGTTTGGGTTTTCCTCAGGGATTAGTGCTAGGCCCTTGTTTATTTTGGTTTACACTCAACTGATATGGTTTTTTAATGGTTTATCCTGATATATATATATATATATATAGGACCTATTTTAGTTATTTTCCATAAATTATGTAATTGAAATTCAATATTAACTCACCTATAGCCTTTTTTCCCCTTTTTTTTTAACCATATTTAAACGAGCTGTTTTGTACTGTTATCTCTTTGCACTTAAGTATTTGAGTAAAGCATTATGTCTATTCTAACAGCAGTTCAGTGAAAACGAAATAGCGACCTCTGCTGGAGATTTAAAGCTGATGGCAAATACTCTAAAAATTGCAAATGTCAGTGTGTCTCTATTTTATACTACAGTCTTTAATCATTTTTTGCAGTAATAGTCATAGTAATAGTAGTAGCAGTAGTCATTATCGTGGTAGTAGTGGCAATAATATTAGTTATCAAGTCTGTTATTAGATGACATCAGGAGGACATCACACTGTACATATCTATCACATCTCTAAAACAACTCCAAGCACCATCTCCAACAAACTACCCTAATGTATTCTTACAGTTTCACATTACCATTTAGCTGTGAGCCCAACCATCACAGCATCTGGGCCGAATTGCTGAGGCACGCACTTTTTAAACTATATTGTGGTGTTTTTGTCATTCCATTACCCACTTTACATGCCCCGTGTGTCAGTGTGGCTGTTTGGAAGCATCCTGGCCAACTCTAATAAGGCAGGATAGATAACCTTCAGTCCCATCCACGCGCACTTTCATCCTGTTAGCGTTATGAATTTATTGTTGCTGATATTGGCGAAGAATGCCTTTAGCTATGCAGAGACACTATAGATGGGTACAGTATGCACAATGGTATTCAGTGTAGCTCTCAGCACTTGGTTAGTTGATACAGGCACCTCTGCTATGTGCTCCAGGGCTATTTTCTCCCTCCCGTAAGTTTGGGAGCAGTCAGGTGTGAGATTTAAGAGCAAACTCCATTCAAGTCAATGCTCAAACAAAATGGAAAATGCAAACTTGTTACACAGACGAGAATGTTTCCGGGGCATGTTTGTAAATTGCTTCTCAGAGCCTGAAACAGCAGTAATGTGGTGGCGGACACAGGCTGTTTGCTTGTGTACGTGTACAGCAAAAAAACTGATCATGAACTGCTTTCTGGAGTGATCAGATTATTGAAATGTCATGGAAGCACTTACATCTGATGGGGGTAATATGATTTCTTTCTGGTTGTTGTTTTGTTGAGTTAAATAATGCAAAAATAGCCAACCAATGTGGCAAAGGCAAAAAATGAAAGACAAGACCCATAATAGCAGTGTGCTCCTATGTCTGTGTAAACCCTCAGTCATCCAGGGAGGTTCCATAGTGACCTCTGGGTGAATACTAATCTATGTGATGAAAAGGTTGGTTTCTGTCCTGTGATTTATTTATATATATATATTTTTTGTATCTCATTTAGATACTGTTTTTTAATAATCGATTAGAGTCTGATTTTCAATACCCGATTTTCCATTTATGTTTTTAAAAATAGGATTTTGTTCAAAGTTCACATTTTAAACACATCCTGAAGAATTGATAAAAAAGACTGCAATATGAACTTACAAACTAATACAAGAATCACATTTCAGAACATGTTTATACAGATCTAAAGTACAGGGTTTTTGTTTGTTTTGTGGAGGATTTTATGGTATTCCAAAGATTGTAACCTTTACCATTTGCTGACATTGAAATTATAATTTTGATTCAATCACAATTTATCTTGAAGCCCTAGTATTATGTATTATTTAGTATAATTGGCTAGACACTGTATGACATGACATCTTGAATTCTATATACTTCTTTCTACAGATCACTTTGTTTCTCAGAGTAGATTTAGATTTCTCAATAATCTTGCCACAGCATGTAACCATCTCTTTCCCATAATCTTCACATGAACATTACAATGATCACATATCTAGGACTGTGTCAGAATGATCATGTGAAAACCTGCGCACTCCCATCTGTTCCACCTCACAGCTTCATGACAAACTGTCACTTGCTTCAGTGGCTCGGCGTTGCCCGGGCAACACGTGGCGTGCAGCATGTGGAGAGTGGGTGAGGGCAGACGTCACAGATGCCCTCCCACAGCTGGAGCAGATAATGACTGGAAGAGAACTGAAAACCTCAACACCTGGCAGGGGGTGGCTGAGAGAGTGTGTGATGAGATGGTCAGAAGTCCATGTATTTTCTATGTAAGCCTGGGATGTATCAGATAAATGTATTTATGATTAGGATATCTTTCAGCTTATAGCTTTATTCAGTTGGGGTTGACATAGATAGTGAGAAGAGGTGCACAGTGAATACTAAGCAGTCTCCACCCAGACTGAATGGAGTGGGCAATCTGTGGGTGAAATGTCAGTCATGCAGAATGTATCGCAATCAAATCTAAATCACTATTTGAGTTGGTGCAAGTATGAAATCGCAATTATTTAGGTACTCAAATATTCACTGTCAAAGACAATTATCACAATATTAAAATATATATGTTATATACACCTGCAGTTTACAATTCTGCAGACATGTTCTGAAATGTACGTGTTTCTTATTTTAGCTTATCACACCATATTTAGCCTCAAATTTGGACACTCCTGAATTTGTTTACAGTGTGCACTCTGAACAGAATCATCATTTTTATACACGTATCATAAATCTAATCACTATCTAATTTCCCATTATTGTGGGGGTCTAGTTTGACCAGGCTACCCTCTAGTTGGTGGGCAAAGATCATTTGCCACCACCAATAGATGCCACATTCACACACTGAAACAAAGTGAACTAAGTGTCTGCTATATTCACGGAAAACAACATATTAACGTATTTTATAATAAATTTCACTTTGTTTTTGGCGCTTTGAGTCTCCCCCATCCTGCTAAAGAAACTAGTGCACATTGCATCAGGTTTGTCAAGTTGTTGAGTAGTTTTATTTCATGTTTTTGTATATTTGTTAGGGGTGTAACGATATCCAAGTCTCACAATACAATATCATCACGGTATGAACCTCACGGTACAATATTTATTGCAATATCGTGGGAAAGCTCACGATATGGTGGGGAGGCTCACGATTAGGAATGTAACAATATCCAAATCTCCCGGTATGGTATTTTCACGATATACATCTTATGGTACGATATTTATTGCAATATTTTGTGGAGGCTAACAAAACTGTTAATATGCTACTTTTTCGTCTTAAAATGCCTTGACAAGACTTGATCCAAAGAACTAAGATTTAAAAGTGCTTAGAACTGTTAATGCCTCATGTAGTCTACACTGAAATGGAGCAAAGGATCATGGTCATTGTTACATCCTTAGTATTTAAGGAGAATTATCATGTGGGAGCCTGGGTGACGTAGGCTTGTGGGCTGAGCATTGGAGATAATCTTACAGCTAAATGTAAGGAGAGTGTGAATATGCAAACATGCATGGATGGCATATCAATCCTCTTCAGATATGTTTTCGATGAGGGAAAAGTAAAAAACTGATTTTGCGTCATACCCCTCTTTCATATATCAGTTACCAAGTCCTTTTACCTAAAGGATTAATAAAGGTGAATTGAAGCATTAATGGACTGGAAAGAATTGACAGAGATGTGGGAACAGTGGATGGAAAAATAAAGTCTGTAAAACTGAAATGTGAATGTGTTTTAATAATGCATATGGAGAGTATCACAAGCAGCAGCCAACCCCCTCCAGACACAACTCAGCGGAGACGAGAGCCCACGCATGTCAGAAATAACCCCAGCTCTGGTACAAACTGCACTGAATACTGCAAACTATCGCCTTATAATTTCTGATCCTTAAAATTTCTGATTGGTCATTGTATTTTTTATCTACAGTAAAATCTGCATTATCACGGACGAGTTGGCAAAACAGCAAGAATTTTGTAGACAGAGGAAGAAAACAGATGCATTCCCATTACTCATGTACTCCACAATTTGCATATCTATAATATTATTCCATACAATATTTCATACAATGTTTTGGAGGTACTCTGCTTTGAATATAGAATAGTTTCCTGACCTGCAGTTTGCTTTGCCCTACAGTGTAAATAGAACTATGTAAAAGTTCTCAACATTTTTCAGTTAATTGTTGCAAAATACCACATAAAGCTACTATTACTTTTAATTAAAGGCCCTATACTACACAAAATGGATTCTTGTGAACTTTAAGCCAATGTTTGTTGTATTACTGCCTCCTCCAAAACATATTCAGAGTTATTTTGTTTCATTCACACCTTTAAAAAATCCTGCATTTTTAGTCTGTCTACCTCCAAAGTTGTATTACGATATTACAACACAAGATGGAGAGAAGAACACAGCCTAAATATGCAAGGTTTGTGTCTTAAACATGTGTGAATTAAACAAAACAAAACTCTTAATGTTTGTGATGAGGAAACAACATTATAACAGATCAGAAAATAGACATATTAGAGTGGTTAGCATTTCTGCCACTTGAAAAGAAGGTTGCAGATTTTAGATTTAAACCTATTTTCAACTGTTGACTGGAAACAACTGATATTTTCTATTCTCTCTACTTGCTATGTCGGAGATTATATTTTTATAAGGTTTACAGATGCTGGGATCAACTCTGGCCAAAAAATGAATAGTGAAAGAATATAAATAGCTAATTATTGTTAGAAGAACATCCTGGGGACTTTCTTCCTCAGTGCTTTCTGACAGAACATTTGTAGTCAAGTACTACTAAAAGCTCTTCAAGGCACTCAAAGCACTTTACATCAAGGAACCACTTACCCATTCACACACACATTAATACACCAGGGCAACGGTAGCTCAGTTGGTAGAGCGTTTGTCCACTGATTTTAACATAAACATCATTCGCTGAGCAGTCAAATCCACTGACCCACAGGTTGGCTGGTGTGATTCCAGCTCCCACAGATGAATGCTGTTGTTGTGTCCTTGGGCAAGACACTTAACCTACCTCGCCCCCAGTGTCTGCATACACTGGTGTGTGAAAGGTTGAGTGGTTCCTTTTTGGAAAGTGCTTTGAGTGCCTTGAAGGTGGAAAAGCGCTATAGAAAATGTGTCCATTTACCATTTATGCATACACTGGGGTGGGGTGGATTAAGTGTCTTGCCCTAATGATAGTATTCATCCATCCATGGGAGCTGGAATCACACCACCAACCTATGGGCCAGTGGATCTGATCCCTCAACCGATGGTGTTTAGTTAAAGGTGCATTGTGTAACTTTTCTGGTGGAAGGTCCGGTAAATGTTTTACTTCATGAAGATGTTATTGCTTTGACCTTTCTATCTTCATGGAGAACAAACCAGATGTGACCAGTTACAGGTCAGATCTGTGGAGAAGCAACAATGCTCAGTCAGTATGTGTTTCTAGATATTTTTGAGCTACAAAAGCTCATGCACTTTAAATAAATGTAGGATAGAGCTGTTATACTGTGGAACAGCCAAGATTTAAATATATTCATAGAAACAAGCAGTTGACAGACCCTGAACCAGAAAGTTATAGCGCACATTTATGTTTTACATGATTCCAGGTATACCACACAGCACATCCCGGTGATCCAGGAGCACAGAATCCAAACACATTATGAATATATGATCGAGTTTGAGCTGATGTGGCACTATCTCTCTGTGAAATCTGCAGCAGTCAGAGCGGCCTGATAGAAGTCCCCGGGATACAAAGCTGACATTCATATGCACAGTGTGGGAGCAGAATGTGGAAACACAAAAGCTAAATTTGATTTGATCCAAACTCAAAACGCTGAACTTTTTCTATGACTTGGCAACCCAAACCTCACCCTTCAGTTCAAATAAGGATTACATTACAAAGCTAAAGTAATATTTGTTAAATTTGTCTCCTAAACATACATCTATTTGCAGAGCCTAATAGTGAATAGCTGAAAGTTTGCTAAAGCTAATGCAGATTATTGGTATTCCCTGTCCTGACAGTGTGAATTCATATTTCTATGCCATTTTAAGTCTCTTATTTACACTGTGGTGATGTGTATATGACACTTATGGATTAATGGATCACTGCAGCCAGACGGGTAATGTGCAAAACATTCTTTGTAAATGAAGGTGTTATTTATGAATAGATAATTGGAGCTCTTTGTATTTCAGGAAAGATTTAACCAGATTTTTAAGTGTGTTTACAGTATGCACATTCTCAATGGAATATTTTTTATGCTGGGATTAGGTGTCTATTACCCTTTATTGGCAACAGTGTAATGTGACGCATGTTAAAATGTGTATTTGATCTGTTATTAAGTGATAATATTTTAGGGGATTTAAGTAAAAAAAAAAACTACAATTAACTGCTCATAAATTACTTACTATGGTTTAAATGATTTGCAAATTGAATCAACTTTTGTTGGGGGTACCAGTCAGTTGCATGGTTACTTTGGTGGTCCTGTCCTGAATAGGCCAGAAATTTTAGCTTTTGGTGATAAAAATTTGAAATAAATCAAATACGTGAGCATGAGAACTACAAATTGAAATCATATTGTTGTTCATCAAAATGTATTAAATTTTTAATTCTAAGTTTTGCATCTTATTGTCCAGCTCTATTGAGAAGTATAATTTTGAAGTGGGGGCTTGTTTTGTTCCCTTTATTATTAGTCAGTCTAAATGCTCTGTTCCACCTTGTGATGTCATGAAATGCTAATTTTCAAGTTAACGGCTACATTTTGCCCTTAGTTGGGCAGAGACTTGCAATTCCAGGTCTTAAATTGAGTTATCCTAGTGAAGGTGTAGGGTGGAACAGAGTGTTTTCTTTCTGAGAGAAAAACTTTGCCTAAATATGCTGAGTTGATGTGTAAATGAAACAAAACACAACTCCAGATATGTTTGTGATGAGGAAACATAGATCAGAAAATAGTGTAACGTGTGCTTTTTAAGCTTGCTAAATGTAGCGCAATATAGGACCTGTAAACAACTCACCTAGTATCCTGAGTTGTGAGATTCCGTGCAGTCCGTAGAACATCCACAGTGGTCTGGAGTTGTCCACACACAGCTGCATGCCTGCGCTTTTCCCATTTATGCTCATGAGCACCTCTCCTTCCGCATTCACAGAGAAACCCAGGATGTCTCCCCCCTGCAGGACCCCCCCCCACCCTGCACACGGCCCAGAATTCCTTGCGGTCCACCAGCGACTCCGGGTCACATGGCAAATCGCTGGGCCTCAGGGTGCTGGGGTCACATGATGTCACCCCGTATGAGAGCGCGCCCGGTCTCTTCGCTCCTGCCTTTGTCACTTTTAGGAACACAGTCTCGGAACATTTCATCGGTCGGCTGGTGAACACGAGCGTGCGTTCGTCGGCGGTGATCGAGCTTGGCGACTGTGTGCTTGTCGAGAATTGTTGCGTGTATACCGTGGATGGGGTGGAATTGGAGGTCGGTGTCTAGGTGTGAGGGGAGGAGGGAGCACTGCTGGGAATTCTGGGAGTTTTGGGGGACGTGGCAGGAGCTGGAGCTGATTGGTTGGTCTTCGTCAGAGTCTTCCTCATCTTGTTGCTGTAAGCTGAGGTCACATAAGCTGATGGACAGGCGAGGGTCAGGTCTGGAGCGCTGGATGGACGCGCGGTGGGTGGCATATGTGCGGGGACGGAGACAATCCATGGAGACCGCCTCACTCTCTGTGAAAGACAAAGAAGAACAGGTTTAGTGTTGGGACTTGATTATTTGATGACTTAAAAATGTAGATATTATTTCCTAATAGCTACATTTTTGATTGGATATTGCTTAAAACTAGTAAAAATGATTTGAACACATTTTTTTTTTTTTTTTTTACATAAACAAGATCTGTGCCATTTAACAGTAAAAGTAATTTTTGTTCCTTCAAAGTCTGAACTCTCCTCCAAACCACATGCTTTTACTGGCAGAGGAATGGCTGTAGACTCTCCATTAAAACCCCAAACATGTCATTGACAGTTAAAATTCATTTTACAGCCCTATTTTAGGCATAGTAACTTCACCACAATGAGTAGCTTTCCATAACCACTAGGGGTGTGCAAAAATATTGAAATATCGATATATATCATATCGTTTAATTTGATGATACAGTATCAATATCGTGGGCTGCTGTATCAATATATCAGCAAGAGTATTTTTAGGTATATTTTACTAAATAATTTTGGGTAAGAGCTACAATTGTGTGGAGGGTTTCACTGTTTTGACTAAAATGGGTGTTTTTCATATTAACTTTGCAGAGGCTTAGTGGTCCTAGTAGACTTTTAGTATCACAGCCATGATTTAGACTGTATTGATTGCATACCTATGTATCGAGGTATGCATCGTATCGGCAACTTCTTAATGATACCCAGCCCTAATAACAGCTTCTTCTGAGAGTTGACACTTCACTGTGATTGGTTAAATCCATCTGACACTCATTCAGAGGGTGACGAAGATTAACTAATAGATGGAGTGGGTGGGGCACAGATGGCATATATCTTACATCACAGGTCTCCCACCTTTTTCCTCCGGTGAGCTACCTTTACAAAATGAAAATGTCAGAGACTCATTTTAGTGGTCGCAAGAGCTTGAGACTATGTAAGGGCCATGGCAAACTTTAGATGGGGTACAGTTAGAAGCTTATAAAACATAAACTAGTATCCATTTATTAGTGCAAAATTAGACATTTGCCATGGTAATTAATCAAATTTTAGCTATTCAGCACAATATCTATAATTCAGAAATCCTTTGGTGAGCTACAAGTTGGAGAAACTTTTTGTATAGAATGAGCACAGAGTCGCATCAAACAGTAAATAATAAATTAACAATCTTCAGCCACCAGAGTGACAGAGAATAATATTACAAAGCCCCAACCCTTTATGCCAATCTTCATGTAATCAATATTAATTTAAGGTTCCATAACTACTATTATTGCATGCAGACTTTGTTCCATTATTGGCCCTTTTTCTTTTTTAGAATCTGCCACAGCAGACACCCACAGTAACACCCGATAAGAGCTGCAATTGCCTACATAATTTGATCTGGTCTTTTTGCCCTCTTTATTAGGCTCAAACTTAATCAAATCTATACAGTCATGATGTGTGTTATCACCATCCCCATGTTTATGAGATAACAGCCCATCTCCCACTTTATAGTTCATACAATAAACATACTTATTATGTAACCACTCACTTATTCTTGCTCTTTCATACCCCCAGTAATGCCTTTAATATATTTGATTTCACCGTGGTTTTGGATCCACACATTCCCGAGCGCTTCAATTTAGACTTATTACACTTGGAAAAAGCCAATAAGGTGCCAGTTAATTTATGCACCCGCTTTGTATTCTCCATATTTCTACTGCAAACTACTGCTTTATTTCGCATGGGCTGTCCGTGGGCTGCTCATTCATCATATCTGCCACTGTGAACAAATGGGTGTCTTCCAGCATTTTACAAATTATTCCAGCTAGCGTATTCGGTGGCTTCCCAGGCCTCTAGTTTAACAATAGATATGTCAATGTTTAAGCAACACATCAAGGGCTTAAGTGGGGGACACGCCATGGCTGGGGGCAGCGGGTACATCACAGTGGATGTCCTAACAGCTTTATGTAATATTTAAAAGGGAGAAAGAGAGAAGAGGATGATGAGTGGCTGTCTCTCGCCCACACTGCCTAGTTCAAATACAAGTTACTTTCACTCCTCTTTTAGTTTATACTTGGCAAGGTAATGAAGTAAAAATAGAAGAGTAGTATGCTAAAGTATGTAAAGTACTTAAGTATCTTTGGTATCTGTACTTTATTTTAGCACAATTTCAGTTGATGCTTTTTACTTTTTCTTCACTAAGTTTGAGACACTTTTTTCTCAACTTCATTTTTGACAAAAACTGAAAAGTAAAAGTATTTTTTATTTAAGTTTGAGACCTGAAAAGACTGAGGGGTTTAATTTTGAACATGTTCATAATTTAAGCAAATAAAAATATACAAATAAAAACAGCTAGGACTGATTTAGTTGTTTCTACTGAACAAAATTCAACACAAATCTTTATCAAAATCTTTGCATTTGAAGTTTAAATAGATCTCAAAATCTGCATTAAATACTCATACTTTTTTACTCTTCAAACAGGTACTTTAATACTTAAGTAGATTTTTTCATGCGATACTTTTTTAATTGAGTATGTTTTTGTTCTGGTTACTGTACTTTTATTTTAGTATCAACGTTCTTCTTCGATCGCTGATACTTTGTGCACTATGTGACAGAACGGCATTAAACTTATCTCCATGGAAACAAGCAGGTGACACTAACAGTTACAGGTCAGATTTGTGGAGAGGAAACTCCGTCACAATTACAATGCATTTTTTTCCCGCAAGTTATTTTTGAGCAATAAAATCACTTATTTTAGTAAATGCAATATAATACTTTAAAAAATATTGTGACACTGGTTCTAGTCAATAGCCTGATATATTGGAATACTACTACAGTGTACTAAGTCAGGCCTGTATAAACTTATTTAAAAAACATTTAAACTTCAGGCTTTTTTTTTTTTTCCAAATTAAAGGAGAAGGAAAGGAAAAAATGAAGTAGCAATGTATGCACACATAAATATTCCACATGCAGTTTTATCTTGTATATGGGCCACATTTTGAAGTTTGAAATGGCACTCATAATTCAGTGTCTCTGTCTATGTACACATGTCTATATGTGTTAGCATGTAGCATCGTTCACCAGGCCCACTTGTTTACATAGCTCAGTGTCCCACCTGAGCGCTCCATGTACTCCAGCCCTCCTCTGTGCACTGTCAACACACTCTGCTTAGCATCCAACTGCTAAAAGCTTTTTCCTATCGTATAAATGGTGTTCTAAAACAGCACATCACATGTTTTGGCTTTGCCGTGTGACTCCTTCATAAATAGCCTGATTTTGAAGTGTATAAAATAGTCACAGAGGATCTATAAAGAGAATAGGAACTCAATCAGTGCGTGTTTTTCCGTGTTCAAAGACGTGCTGCTAAAATTAACGCAAGCTAAAATTATTCTGACTGGACTTTGTGAGTGACAGAAGCGGTATAACTGATAATATAGCCTGTATATGCCAGTATTGATGTCTGTGGATCTTACAGTAAAATCGGGGGTGTAGTGGGCATGGTACACAGAGGTATGTGTCCACTCACTTCTCCCGACGTGAGATATAAAAAAATAACAAATATAAAATGGCCTACAACTTAAATGTCAAACCGGAGCTACTGACAATAGTGAAAGCAACCTGCATAGGCTCATGATATCTCCAGTACTGTCCTAGAGTGTCCTGTCACATGAGGTCCAGGTCTAAGCCAGGACTAAACCAGGACTGAACCAATACTGCCAGGACTGAACCAGGACTGAACCAGGACTGAACCAGGACTGAACCAGGACTGAACCAGGAATGAGTTTTGGGACGGGCTCTGAGGTGTGCCGTGTCAGGTGACCACAGGCGAAAGAACTGGCTCAGAGGTCCACACCCCACGGGGCTACGAGCAGGCGTCCCCCAATCGTGCTTTGCGGACACCCTGCTCCACGGGCCTGGGGTTCTCAAGTCCATGATTAGTCCTGGTATAGTCCTGGCTTAGACCTGGCTTAGACCTGGTCTAGTTCTGGTTCAGTCCTGGTTTAGTCCTGGTTTCGTCCTGGCTTAGACCTGGTCTAGTCCTGGTTCAGTCCTGGTTTAGTCCTCCTGGTTCAGTCCTGGGCACATGTGTTGTAGCCTATGATTTATGTTCTGTAGGTGATTGTGAATGGCGTTAATGTTAATAACATGATTCCACATCATTTTGTGTAAAAAATAAAAATCTAATGTTGATTTGGGTAACATTTTCACTGGGCTGGCGCCTTTATGTTTGTACTGAACGTGATTGAAAGTGATACTGAAGAGGGGGCGTCGATGATGTCACATATCACATACCCCCACTTAAAAAATCCCAACTACACCACTGAGTAAAATTAATCATGATTATAATATATACGCCCCTATGGAACTTTATTTAACATATTGCAATAAGTACATATTCTAATACTGTGCCACTAAGCAAGAGCGTGATTGGTGGTTGGATTCCAAAGCTCAAAATGCGCTGTTCCACCTTGTGATATCATGAAGCAATAGTTTTCAAGTTAATAGCTCCTTAATAACACAGTGGAGCTCTTCTTGTATTACCACATGACATCACAAGGTGGAAGTGAGTTTTCTGTTTGAGAGAAGAACTGCGAATGAAACAAAACACAACTCCAGGTATGTTTCTGATGAGGAAACAACATTTTAACATAAAACAGATCAAAAAATAGCGTAATACGGACTCTTTAAATCATGACATTTCTTCTCACAACTGTCTATTTTGACTTTGTGATGTGATTCCAGACTGACGTGGAGATAGCTGTGGGCTTTCCCTCAGGCAGGTGGACACAGGGACACAGCAGAGAGAGTAATGTAGTCCCAGTACAAGGACAGACCTCTTCTTCTTCTTCCTCTTCCTCCTCTTCTTCCTCCTCTGTGTGGTTTATCACACAGACAGCAGAACTCAGGACCGAGGCAGATAAAGTGCTCCAGCTTAATTACTTCCTAAAGTCACAAGTGTACAGCTGTGGGGCCTGTATTATTAGCCCCTTATCAACTTCAAGGCAAACTTATCTGAGGCTGGGATAAAGAGATACTTCTGT